ATATACCACAACCTATCTACAGAAATAAGAAAAATTGTTACCTTCATGTCCTTATCATGGGAGTTGTACTCCAGTCACACAGCCTGGATCGGCTTGTGACCGACAGTGTTACGAGTTGCTTCGTAGTTCATATTTGCCAATAGCGACATACCACTGTTGATCGCTCCTGCCGTTCTATATTCTTATACACGGTTGATCTTACAGAGGGTCTATTTTCAGCGACCAGGTGGCCCTCTCTCTAGTGTGTTGTTATTTCTGCTATGTGTGAAACTGAACCATTGACTTTGTGTAAAGTTAGTTGGTTTGTTTGTTTGTTTTAAGCCGCACTCAGCAATATTCAAGCTATATGACGGCGGTCTGTAAATAATCAAGTCCGGACCAGACAATCCAGTGATTGATATTATGCGCACATAATTTGGATTGATGACATGCATCAACCAAGTCATCGAGTCTGACCACACGATCCCGTTAGTCGCCTCGTATGACAAGCATAGTCGCCTTTTACGACAAGCATGGGTTGCTGAAAACCTTTTCTACCGCGGATCTTCACGGGTCGACTTTGTTTAGCGAGGGTTACCAGATTTGTATAGGGTATAAGTATATGAATTAAATAAATGTGTTGTGTTTTAAGAAGATTGAATTAAACGTGGTGTGACTGCCTTTTATGGTACTGGGTATGAACGTCGTGTTGCTTATAATGATATACATTGTGTTACAGTAAACTACGGTTAAAACGAACTCGAGGGGACCACTACTTTTAGTTCGTAATAACCGTAGTTCGTTATTAGCATACATACAGCATATATACAACTGGTCGGGACTAAAAGATAAGTTCGTTATATCGGTCAGTTCTTTATAAGCGTGTTCGTTATAAACGTAGTTTGCTGTAATTTGTATGACTTTCTGATTGAGATATGACAATTTATGGTTTCATAATTGAAAAGAACACAATAATTGGAATGTAAGTGAAGGACACGGGTTTTAATGTTAAAGCGACAAAACTATTTCCATGATCATAAAAAGGGTCTCATAAAACCATAGGACTATAAGCATAGGTTCATGAATCAGCATCAAATATCGAAACCCACGCCTTTTCTTTAAAACCGAGGAAGAGAAACACGAATCAAAACTCAAATTATTTTGTTGTTGTTGTTATAATTTGTTGTTTAACGCCACACTCAGCAATATTCCAGCTATATGATGGCGGTCTGTAAATCATCGAGTCCGGACCAGACGATCCAGTGATTAACATCATGAGCATCGATCTACGTAATTGTTATACGATGACATGCTTCAACCAAGTCAGCGGGCCTGAAGACCCGATCCGTTAGTCGCTCTTTACGACAAGCATAGTCGCCTGTTACGGCAAGCACTCAGCAATATTCCAGCTATATGACGGTGGTCTGTAAATAATCGAGTCTGGACCAGACAATCCAGTGATTTGCTAACCAAAGAGTTCGCGTTTTATTTAGTCATTGTAGAATGGAGATAAACATACTGTGTTTTCAATGTAGAGCTAGATTACCTGTAGATTTAACTGCGCTAAATTGAATTTGGAACCGAACGCGCAGTAACGTCATCCTATTGTTCTCCAATGTGATTAAATCTCATAAACAGGGATGTTATATAATATCACTGGGATTATAGTAATACAACTTCCGCTGACATTGTAACATATTAATGTTTCTCGCAAGAAATATATTTTGCTTTTGAACACAAAGTAATAAATTGTAAAACCAAATGTTTTCTTTATATTCCCGAGGATCGAACACTCAACCTTCGTATCTGTAGACCAATCAGTGTACCACTGGGCGACAGAGGCGCTGACAAATAACAATGCTTTTAAAAGTTTATGTTTCAAGATCCGTACGCCAGCAACATATATTTTACGCCCGTTTCCTAAGGTTCATAGAAAGTATGTTTGAAACATAACAACATTTTGATAAATGTTGTTTTAAGTTTCTCTTGTCACTTTATAAGTTAGATAAAACACTTCCTCGGGTTTTTATGAAATTAAAAACATGCATCCGCGGGATAAAACATAAGGGCGTCAGCCCCGAGATTTTATCCCGCGGATGCGGGTTTTAAATATCATAAAAACCTTCGGACGTGCTTAACCCTACACATAATCTCCCCTGATGAGCTGCAAAACCTGAAGATTGCGTACCAAAGGGAGCCATCTCAAAACAAAAGAAGAAGAAAAAGCTGGAAGAAGAGCATGACATCAGTGTGTCTTGGCATATATATAGAATACTACACGAGCTCCTGTGTAATACCAATTTTTTGAAACGAGTGAATAGTTGTGGTATCTGACGAGCGAAAGCGAGTCAGATACCACAACTATTCACGAGTTTCATAAAATTCGTTTAACACGGGAGCGAGTTTAGTATTTTAATTATTACTTGCCATTCATAACTTTTTTAGAATTATACTGATGAGTATGAATAGGCTGACACCTACACGATCAACGGCATAGTCCAATTGAGTTTAACAGAATAATACTTCAAACACGTCAAAAGTTGAAACGTATGAATTTAATACCATACAACGGTCCACCTTTAGAATTCAGTCGTCCGTTCCACAAAATTATCGTAGGGCTAATCGCAACTCACATACTTTAACTTAGACTAACGACTGTCGTTGCGCTACAATACGATCGCCTTGTGGAACGGGCCTTGCACCTCAAAGTTTACAATCACGTCAGAATACCTGATGACGTAAATTGTGGAATTTTGTTGCAAGATCCATCGGCGAAACAATGCCATGTGACGTCAGCATAGCAACAAGGTTGCTGGGGTCATCGAGTGTGCATAAGCTCCTCTCAGTGATCTATCATCTCCACATGCAATGTCGTTGAATAAGCCAAGGGATGTTGAGAGCTTTCAATATTTGTTCGTGAAACGTGTTTCGAGAGTACATTAGCACGCGTTTTGGTATTACACAATGTGTAATACAGCTGTATGTTTATTAAACGGGTGATCTCTTCACGGGCAAGTAATAAAATTATGTTTTCTTATACATGTACCAAGATATTCTTTTCATATTGCATTTCAAATTTTTATTTATTTCCATGTGTTTGAGATATTCCCTCTTTATCGGGGCGGAAGTTAAAATGACAATGGTCATTCATGCAGCAACCATGTTTGACACACAATCATGATGTCATTGTTGTAAGACGTTAAATCGCCTAGTCCTACGCCCAACTGGGAGTCAGATCAACTGCTACAAAATAATATGATAACCATGTAGAAGTTGGTTTTTTTATTCAGACATAAAATATTACAAAGCTGGAACTTCTGGTTAGGTCAACCGATTTTCGATGCGTGGATGTGTGTTTAATAAAAAATAATTCAGGAAAACCGGGGGCCAAAATGACGATTGACGGACAATTATGACATTTTCAATGTCATGAAATCGTTCTCAGCCAAATAGTTTGTTTCTAAAATAGAGATAATTAATGGATAACAACTTCTATATTTACTGTAAAGGCGACGTTGCGGCCCTGCTTGACAATGGTATAAGGATCTATACCAAAACGTCGCATTTACAGTAAATAAAGAGGTTGATATCCATAAATTAATTGTGTCTACTTTGTCATTCGTCAGTTTGGGATCGATGACATGTATCAACCAAGTCAGCGAGCCTGACCACCCGATCCCGTTAGTCGCCTTTTACGCCAAGCGCTAACATGATCGGGTGGTTAGGTTCGCTGACTTGGTTGATGCATGTCATCGATCCCAGTTGCGTGGATCGGTGCTCATGATGTCAATCACTGGATTGTCTATATAAATTAACAATCAAAAACCAAAACCGTGCAGCATAATAACGTCGAGCTGTGGAAGCGTGGCTGAGTCGGGTTACATGTAAAAGAGCAATCGTTAAACGAAATAGGATTATCAAATAACACTAACTATGGTGATACAAACCCCCATCTGTCGACACAGCGTTTACATCTATAGCATAGTACTATATCTAAGTAAATGCCACTTCCCAATGTCCCTGTTCGTCGTATTTAAATCAGACATGTTGGTTAATGCGAAGCTCTTTACCAAATACTCTCAACAGTCTCACAAATGTTCGGTTCGACTTGGCTCGGGTTGTCACAATCCGCGTAAACCTTATAGATAGGCTAATATTATGTCAGTCAGTCAGTCAGTCAAGAGGCAGTCAGTCAATCGCGGTATTTAAAGAAGACATGGTGCTCGAAGTGAAGCACTTTTCCCTCTACATTCTCCAAATAGTCTCCAACAGAAGTGTTTGATCGATGTTCGGCCCGACTTGGCCCGGGCTGTCAAAATCAACTTTAAACTCACAGCTGTATCATCACATGTGTTTTACATCTATAGACGAGTATTGTATCTACCTATATACCACCTGATAGTGTCACAGTCCATCGCATCTAAAGAAAATTGGCCGTTAAAGTCAAACACTTTCACTGTATTTTCTCACGAAAAACTGTCATATGTGTTTGCCCCGACTTAGCCCGGGCTGTGAAAATCATCTTACACCTCACAGATGATAGACTAGTAATATATTTACCTATATACCTGGAATTGCAAACAAATCTAAGAAAAATTCACTGCCAGGGTCGATTATCGCTGGTTTTAGTCCTAATGATTATAATAACATGATGGGTATCACAACCTCGCATTGGCATTTGTATTTACGTACGTCATTTTACAAATATTTCCGGTTCTCCATGGGAAAAGTGAGCCCTAAAAGTATCCATATATATTTTCATTTTCTTTTGGACCCTCTTTTTCCAGTTGATAAGAAAGCAAGCTACCCTATATGAATTTTTATTTACATCTGCCTAGACCTAGAACATTAAATGTCCTTCAATAATAAATTTATGAATTATTGACCCAGCCAATCAAATTCTATGTAAGTATTATTAAACAAGTTTTTATGAAAGTTTTTCATGACACCTTTCATGTTGCACCACGTGGGTAAGGATTCACGTTGCAGAATATATTAAATCAGAATGGTAAGTGCCTCACCTTGAATCTGTTCTGTAATTCAAGCCTATCTGTCATGAGTTATGCCGTGTTTTAAATATGAGCCCAACATTTATAACATTGGCTGTTCTTTATCCCGGAAGCAGGAAAATAGTTAATGTCACCTGACAATCTGTTATCTCTTTGTGTTATTATCAATGTTCTAAATATGTAATGTAATTTGGTCAAGAAGTTTACCCAAGCTTTAGGTATATCGATGGTCCAATGCCGTTTAATAACAGACAAGTAGCCAATTCCCTTACACTGATTTACCAACCTTAACTAGAAGGAGAGGCGACCGGTGAGACTGCCTCATCTGGTTCATAGTTAGATCTATGCATCATGATTCAGAGTGAGCAAACACTACCCAAAGATCATATGACAGGAGAGATGACTTCCACTTTCCAAGTGTCATCTTCCCCGTTATGTTGAGCAATATTCCTGCAGCTCCAGCCATTGGTGTCTACATTTCAAAACTTCTGAGAATAGCGTTATACGACTCTTGCTAAGAAGCTGTTTGATCAAGATTGTTTTCGGGTGAACATTTGACCTACCTTTGCGTGTGTTTGTGATGTGATGCATCGGTGGGGCAGGATACGCTCACCTTTTCGCGAACACCTGTTATCAGCCTTTTTTTATAGTGATTCATAAACGCATGCTCATGATATAGTCGGAATCGACAGCGCTTTTAGCAGAGGTTTTTTTATAAATATGGATGGAAAGGATTTTGACACCTTTATTACAGCATAATAAATAATAGAAATAAATTGCCCTTCTAGATCTGTCATAATTTATGACTGAGAAATACATACACATTTCTTCCAAGGAGATACGGTGTGTGGTTGACCTGCACAAGTCTAAGCAAAACTGCTTTGTTATTGAAAAGGGCGTATTTATTATGTTTTTGTTTCATAAGTACAAATCTTACGATGACTAAGACTTTGTCATGTTCTGGGGCTTTTCCTCACATCTAATCGATTCCTACAGTAAATATTGGCGTGTTTTATAAGTGGTCTCTCTTTTTCTTATTATTTGTCCGGATACGTACATAAATCTGTATCTATTTTTCAAAGAATGATTACATTTGATATATGTTTAAAACCGATCAACATATTTGTGTAGCAAAGGTCTAATATCAAGCTTGTGATCTTGTGAAGAACGACTCTTAAATAGAGGACATGTAAGGAAAACATTGCTTCTACTTTATCAGGGAAAAACAGTTCATTTTGTTTCTTCTCTTGGCTATATACCATATGAATGGTCATTGTACCTTATCATGTATAAATGCAATGAAACCCTTTGGTCTAACTGAAAGTATGGCAATACAGTGGTCTGACAGTAATATATAATGGTACTGATTACTGGTATAAAGTATAGCTCTTCAAATTACCCTTGACTTAATGTTATCTTACCACAATGCTCATTGTTGCTTATCATAAAACGGATTTGTAAAGGTTATGAGGAAAACGCCTGCTGCTCTATTGATTTTATGGAGCAAATAATGAATGAACAAACATTTATGTTAACAATTGTTTCAAAACTTCCTCGGGATCTGCTTTGCTCAATTCATATACATTCCTTTGCTTTATATTTAATCTATAAACAGAAACTACCGAGGTAAGGCAACAGGTAACAAGCGGTGTAGAAAGCAATGATGTGAACAGTACTGTGTCAGTCATTCAGTCAGTCAGTCAGTAAAGAGGCAGTCATTCAGTCAGTCAGTCAGTCAAGAGTCAGTCAGTCAGTCAAGAGGAAGTCAGTCAGTCAGTCAAGAGTCAGTCAGTTAGGCAAGAGGCAGTAAGTCAGTTAGTCAAGAGGCAGTGAGTGAGTGAGTCAGTCAGTCAGTCAAGAGGCTGTCAGTCAATCAAGAGTCAATCAGTCAGTCGGTCAGTCAGTCAGTCAGTAAAGAGACAGTCAGTCGAGTCAGTCAGTCAAGAGGCAGTCAGTCAGTCAGTCAAGAGGCATTCAGTCAGTAAAGAGGCAGTCAGTCAGTCAGTAAAGAGGCAGTCAGTCAGTAAAGAGGCAGTCAGTCAGTCAGTAAAGAGGCAGTCAGTCAGTCAGTCAGTAAAGAGGCAGTCATTCAGTCAAGAGTCAGTCAGTCAGTCAGTAAAATGGCAGTCAGACAGTCAGTCATTTAAGAGTTAGTCAGTCAGTCAAGAATCAGTCAGTCAGTCAGTCAGTAAAGGGGCAGTCAGTCAGTCAGTCAAGAGACAGTCAGTCAGTCAGTCAGTCAAGAGGCAGTCTGTCAGTCAGTAAAGAGGCAGTCAATCTGTCAGTAAAGAGGCAGTCAGTCAGTCAGTCATAAGGCAGTCAGTCAGTCAGTCAGTAAAAAGGCAGACAGTCAGTCAGTAAAGAGGCAGTCAGTCAGTCAGTCAGTCAAGAGGCAGTGAGTGAGTGAGTGAGTCAGTCACTCAGTCAAGAGGCAGTCAGTCAATCAAGAGTCAATCAGTCAGTCAGTCAGTAAAAAGACAGTCAGTCAAGTCAGTGAGAGAAGAGGCAGTCAGTCAGTCAGTCAAGAGTCAGTCAGTCAGTAAAATGTCAGTCAGTCAGTCAGTCAAGAGTCAGTCAATCAGTCAAGAGTCAGTCAATCAGTCAGTCAGTAAAAAGGCAGTCAGTCAGTAAGTAAAGAGGCGGTCAGTCAGTCAGTCAGTCAATCAGTAAAGAGACAGTCAGTCAATCAAGAGTCAATCAGTCAGTCAGTCAGTAAAAAGACAGTCAGTCAAGTCAGTGAGAGAAGAGGCAGTCAGTCAGTCAGTCAAGAGTCAGTCAGTCAGTCAGTAAAATGGCAGTCAGTCAGTCAGTCAAGAGTCAGTCAATCAGTCAAGAGTCAGTCAATCAGTCAGTCAGTAAAAAGGCAGTCAGTCAGTAAGTAAAGAGGCGGTCAGTCAGTCAGTCAGTCAATCAGTAAAGAGACAGTCAGTCAGTCAGTCAGTCAAGAGGCAGTAAATCAGTCAGTAAATCAGTCAGTCAGTCAGTCAAGTGTCAGTCTGTCAGTAAAGAGTCAGCCAGTCAGTCAGTCAAGAGGCAGTCAGTCAGTCAATCAAAAGTCAGTCAGTCAGTCAGTCAGTCAAGAGTCAGTCTGTCAGTAAAGAGTCAGTCAGTCAGTAAAGAGGCAGTCATTCAGTCAGTCAGTCAGTCAAGAGTCAGTCAGTCAACCAATAAAGAGGCAGTCAGTCAGTCAGTCAGCCGAGGATGGTTGTTTGTATTGTAATTAAATTATTAGGGACAACCGACAGTCTGAGATCTGTCCCTGAAGGTGATTAAAATAAATAATTTAAGGAAATAAGTTCTATTCTTTGAAACTCACAGATGTACCATCAAATGTGTTTACATCTATACAATAGTATTATATCTACCTATATTCCACTTTATAGTGTCACAGTACACCGCATTTTAAAGAAAAAACTGGTATTAAAGTCAAGCACTTTTACTGTATTTTCTCAAGAAAATGTGCCACATGTGTTTGCCCCGACTTGGCCCGGTCTGTCAAAATCAACTGACACCTTACTTGATGTATCATCAAATGTGTTTACATCTAGAAACCAGTATTATACCAGTGTCTCAGGTCGCGCTATTAAAGGCAAACATGGTGTTAATATATAACACATGTCACGTTCAAAAACAACAACTTAACAACACACCGAATAAATTGACAGTATATGTCTATATGTGTTCCGTTCAAGAGGCAATTAAGAGAATAAATGCTGATGTAGATGTTTTCAGTCAGTGCATCAAAGAATAGAACTTATTTCCTGAAATTACTTATTTTAATCACCTTCAGGTGACTGACTGACTGACTGACTGCCTCTTTACTGACTGACTGACTGACTGACTGCCTCTTTACTGACTGAATGCATCTTGACTGACTGACTGACTGCCTCTTTACTGACTGACTGATGGACTGACTGTCTCTTGACTGACTGACTGACTGACTGACTGATTGACTCTTGATTGACTGACTGCCTCACGACTCACTCACTCACTCACTCACGCACTGCCTCTTGACTGACTGACTTACTGCCTCTTGCCTGACCGACTGACTCTTGACTGACTGACTGACTTCCTCATATATATATTACTGTCAGGCCACTGTATTGCCATACTTTCAGTTGGACCAAAGGGTTTCATTGCATTTATACATGATAAGGGACAATGACCATTCATATGGTATATAGCCAAGAGATGAAACAAAATGAACTGTTTTCCGGCTTCCCTGATAAAGTAGAAGCAATGTTTTCCTTACATGTCCTCTATTTAAGAGTCGTTCTTCACAAGATCACAAGCTTGATTTTAGACCTTTGCTACACAAATATGTTGATCAGTTTTAATTTTAAACATATATCAAATGTAATTATTCATTGAAAAATAGATACAGATTTATGTACGTATCCGGACAAATAATAAGAAAAAGAGAGACCACTTATAAAACACGCCAATATTTACTGTAGGAATCGATTAGATGTGAGGAAAAGCCCCAGAACATGACAAAGTCTTAGTCATCGTAAGATTTGTACTTATGAAACAAAAACATAATAAATACGCCCTTTTCAATAACAAAGCAGATTTGCTTAGACTTGTGCAGGTCAACCACACACCGTATCTCCTTGGAATAAATGTGTATGTATTTCTCAGTCATAAATTATGACAGATCTAGAAGGGCAATTTATTTCTATTATTTATTATGCTGTAATAAAGGTGTCAAAATCCTTTCCATCCATATTTATAAAAAACCTCTGCTAAAAGCGCTGTCGATTCCGACTATATCATGAGCATGCGTTTATGAATCACTATAAAAAAGAGCTGATAACAGGTGTTCGCGAAAAGGTGAGCGTATCCTGCCCCACCGGTGCATCACATCACAAACACACGCAAAGGTAGGTCAAATGTTCACCCGAAAACAATCTTGATCAAACAGCTTCTTAGCAAGAGTCGTATGACGCTATTCTAAGAAGTTTTGAAATGTAGACACCAATGGCTGGAGCTGCAGGAATATTGCTCAACATAACGGGGGAGATGACACTTGGAAAGTGGAAGTCATCTCTCCTGTCATATGATCTTTTGGCCAGTGTTTGGTCACTAAATCA